GCACCGGCAGCAGTCAATGGGCAGCCGTGCGCGGCTGCTTCTTTGCCTCAGTCTCCACTTCCTGCTGCTGCCTTCCGTGTATAAAATGACCCTTAATTTTTCCTCTAATTATTTTAGGGGAAAGTGTTGTTTTATACACGGTAAAATACAGTACATTGGGTAACGGCTTAAGAAATGTAGGCATATATATGAGTGTCCATCTTGTGTATAAATTTTATCTTAGCTGTTTCCTTCTGTATTCTTGATTTGTAATGATTCTGTCCTAAAATAATGACTTTCAAATCTTCCACAGAGTGTCCTGGTAGATTGAAATGGTTGGAGACAGTTTGTGTTGTAGTTTTTTTATTTCAGATTTGTGACCATTGATCCATTTACATAGAGATTGTCCTGTTTGTCCTATGTGGGTGCAGAGGAATATTGTTGGAAAAAGATGGTGTAGATCACATTAGCTGAGGAGCAAGTGAAGCTACTTTTGATATTGTGTGTGTCATTGTTAGGTCCTGTAATAGTGTTGCTGGAATAGATGTTTGGACATAGTAGGCATCTGAGTCTGTGGCAGGGTTAAGTACCCTTGTCTGTGTTGCTGTTTTGTGGTCCATTGTGTATAAGCATTTGCTTGAAGTTGGGGGGTCATCTGCAGGCATGTATGGGTCTCTCACCAAGGACTTTAAGGTGTTCCATCAAGGATGGGCTGGAGATTTTTAAGATGCATGTGAGTAGTCTCAGTTGTGGACTGTAAGTAACAACTAGTGATGTCCTGTCATTTTGTTCTTTGGGTTTGTCTTGCAGTAAGTTACTTCTGGGTATGCGTCTTGCTTTGTTGATTAGTTCCTTAATCATATGGGGTGGGTATTGTAGTCTGAGGAATGCATGTTGTGTAGATCCTTGAGTTCGGAGTCTCTATTCTAGGGGTCAGAGCAGATGCTATTGTCTCTTAGGGCGTGGCTGTATACGATGGATTTTGTTGTCCGTTCAGGATGGAAACTGGAAGAGAGCAGATAGGTATATCTGTCAGTGGGTTTCTGGCACAGCATGATGCTAAGATGTCCATATTATAGTTTCACAGTGGTATCCAGAAAATTAACCTGTTGTGTAGATTGTTCCAGGGGGAGGCTGATGTTTGAGTGAAAGTTACTTCCCCCCCAAGTGCTTTTTCTTTTTCTGTATATAGGATAAGTAACTGAAGTTGGCCCATTGATCAGCTGAAATTAATCTAAACAGGTGGCAATGGTAACATAACAGTTTGTTCTTGGGTCTGTTGGCAGAAGACACCAGATCTGTAGCCTGCTCTAGTGCCTATTTTTCTGTTCCTTCATAGTAACTACAGATAAAAGAGGCATTTACAGCTGGCTTGCACCCTGCAGCCCTCACATGTGGGGGAGGAACTGCCCATTGACGCAAACTGGAAGGAACATGACCATACCCTCTTGCTTTCTGTGGTTTGGTTTTTATTTTCTCAGAGTTTTGTTCTATAATTTGCAGAAATTGCAGTGTGTCACGTAAAGAGCTTTTTCCAAGTCCCATATTGTGGATAAAAACGCATCCTGTGGTTGCTACCTTACAGACGTATCAGCTTGACTGATGTTCTAGTAGCAACGTGTAAGACATTAAAGATACTGTATTCAGAAGATTGAAATCTTAAGTGGTTTTTGGATATGTAGCTGTTCTGTTTGTGCTAAAGGGTGATGATGATTTATAACACTTCAAATAACAGTATTAGCATAAAATCCCTTTTTCCCTCCTCCTCCTCCTCCTGATTGCTGCCAAACTCAGTTTTCTCTTGGGCAGTTTGTACATCCTCCCATTTGTCTCTGCATCTATTGCTATAATAATTTAGAACAGGTTATTGAGCTATCTTGGTTTCTGTGTGTGTAAGAGAAATCTGACAGTAGGCCAAGAGGGTGATTTTCCAGTCAAGCCAATAAACTTCTAACCTCTTGGCAGCCTTAGAATTAAATATATATTGTGCTGTCCTTTAAAGGATAAGGTGTCGTGTTTAGGAGTTTTTATTGGGGGTGGGGAATCCTTGCCTCGCCCTGCCCTTGCTGCTTTATCCCATACAGGAAAGGAGAGGCTCCAAGTGCACACTGAATGGCATTTCCTACTTTGTAAAGTTGGCAGCACTGAAAACTGACTTGAGCAGGGTGGAAGGCTGCTTAGTTTTCACTTGTAAATCTTTTAGCATTTTGTGAATACTTCCTAAGCAAAAGTGAAAAAGAGACCAACGTATAGGATACAAGCATTCAGATTTGTCTGGAACAGTAAATCTCCATCAAACATAGAACTCTTGTCTTTAGGAGCAAGTTAGTAACCTTGAACTTTTCCACTAGGTGGAAAGGAAATTGCTTTTGGTAAGAAAGTTCTGAATAGTGAGCGTTTCATGGTACCTGGACCTGAAATTTGTTGCTGTCCCCCCCACTGAATCAACTGTGTTTTCAGTAAGAGAAAAGTTTGAATGTCAATAAGGATACAGTTTTCAAAGAGGAATCCTTTTTGGTTTTAACATGCATGACAAAATGAAAAAACTTAAGACGTTTTAAGACAGATTTTTTTTTCCAGTGTAACATTCCCAGTAGGAAGTTGTACTCTTAATTTGACTAAGGACTGCTGGGATTTCTTTCTACAACTATATATTTATGTTTGGAAGTTACTTTGAACTCATTTTGAAGCCACTTTTGAGTAGTGGGAGTGGGCTACCATTGGAAACATTAGAAGGCTCTGTGGCATAAATGTACAACATCACTTCAGTGGATAGGGAGTGAACTGAGATCACTGCATACTTGGTCTGGTGTTCTTTTTTGAAATGGAGCAGTGGAAAGGGATTTGTCATATCCTGCTGTGTGGTTAAGGGTATAGTACAGTGTCTGAGAAGAGCCAGGTTTGTGGTTTAGTCAACAGTCAGGTCCTGTAGAATGGATTAGGAAGTATACTGGTCCCACCTAGTGGTAAAGAGCTATTATTAGTTACAGAAGGCCGGAAATGAAAATTGATATGCATAAAGTGTTTTAGAGGAGGCTGCAGAGCAAACGCTTTCTCAGATCATCTTATGGAAAACTCATAGATCAGCTCTTTCTCAATCTTTTGAACTCTGAAAAGAAATACAAGGTGCATAAACTTTAATAGTAGCAACACTTTCTTCATGGTCTCTGTGTGGTCACATGTAGGTTCTGTGCCCATGCATAGGAATACTTTAGAAGTCTCTAGAGCGTCAGAGAATTACCAGTTAGTAAGCCAAATAATAAATTATTGCAATATTTAAAAAGCATTTATCAACTAACGTATTAAAACTCATAATAAGAACAATATTCAAAACACAAGTAAAACACAGAATAAAATGCTCGCTTTAAAAATCCCTTTGGTCAACCAGGCTTTAAAGAAAAGCCTGGCTGGATAGAAAGGTCTTTGTCTGTTTATGGAAGGACATCAAAGATGGGGGCCAGTCTGGCATCATGTGTAGAGAGTTCCAGAGTCTGGGGGCAGCAACAGAAAAGACTGTCTCTTGCTTCCCCGTCAAATGTAAGGGTGGTGAAATAGAAAGAAAGGTATCTCCTGATGATCTTAATACTTGGTAGTCTCATAAAGGCAGATAAGGTCTTTCGGATAGCTTGGACCCAAGCCATTTAGGGTTTTATAGGTTAAAAGCAGCACTTTGAATTGTGCCTGGAAATAAATCGGCAGTCAGTGGAGCTACTGTAATAGGGAATTATGTGATTCCCTGTAACCAACCCCAGAAAACAATCTGATTGTAGCATTTTGGACTCTCTGGAGTTTCTGAACACTTTCTAGAGTTAGTCTTTTCTACTATGGTGGTCAAGCCCTTGTTTAAAGGACTTAAAAATCTACACCTACTGGTGCAAAATCACATTCCAAGATGGGGAATACCTTTGGTCAGGCTGTGTGAGAGCTTTTTGATCCAATGCCTACCAACATGTTTATGTTCTTAAAAACTGCCTTTATTGTAGATTTTACATCAGCAAGGCATGCAAGTGAATTAAGCTCCTTATACTTTGACTTGCCTTATATCCATTCATAATGACAGGATTCTGAGTTCTGTATCCTGATGCCATGTTTCTAAATCTGACCTTTCCCCCCATTGTAGATGTGTGTATGCATTTAGAGAGGCTTGTCATGTTACCAAGAAATGGAAGGAAGGATGTTTTCTTCCAAGTCTAGAATGGCCATATGGCAGAGGGATAGTCATGTTCATGAATTAGAACTCTTTTTGATGCTCTGGAAGTTCTGATACAGTCTCTCTACAGGCCCAGAACTCGTGTGTGTTTGAGGTTGGGCTGATTATCTGTGCTACCGTAGGTGGGTTGCTTATCTGTCTTGTTTGCTGGTGGGGTGAGTAAATGGTGAGAGTGTTAACTATAACTTATAATGAAGCAAGAACTGATTAATCTGTGGTATTTCCCCCATTGTGACTTCTATTTTAGTATTATTGAATTTACAGAGGCATGCGTATGAAAAGTTATTTTTGTTAGCAACAGGTAAATATTAGGGGGAAACTAAGAGCTTTTTCATATGGTTGTTCACATAGGGTGTTGACATAAACTAATGTTTCCCAATTAAATCCTAGGGTTTTGAAGTGCTTCTTGTTGTATGATGTGATTACTGCTTGCTGTGTCATATCTTTAAACATTTCTTGTGGCTTCATATACTTACTGAAGATTTTCTAGCATAGTGCAGAAGTCTAGGTTCTAGTGTAGAACCTAGACAAATAATCATGATAATAGGACTGTTAATGAAACACATCAAACATGCATATTTTGGAGCTTCTAAAACTGCCACAAGGGCCTGAAACTTTTTCTTTGCAGTGCTTCCATTTTTACTTGAAGAAATTGAAGGCATATATAGTGCATATAAACCTGTCTGGTGTGACACATATTTTCCAAATATTATCTTTCAGTCAATGTGGTCAAATGCAACCAGGCTGAAGCTGTTGTGCACTTTAAAAAGAATTTCCACCTTCTGCTTTATCTTTTTCTTACTCTACCTAGGTTTGAAAAGGGGCGAATCTACACTTTTATTGGGGAAGTGGTTGTTTCAGTGAACCCTTACAAGAACTTGAATATCTATGGGCGAGAAATGATTGAGCATTATAAGGGTCGGGAGCTGTATGAAAGGCCTCCTCATCTCTTCGCCATTGCAGATGCTGCATACAAAGCCATGAAGAGGCGATCAAAGGATACATGCATCGTAATATCAGGTGAGTTGAAATAACTTGTTACTTCTACTTCAGGAACATGGTAACCATCCATTTGAAATTTGGAGCAAAGGCAGTGGATTGGCCACATGAACTGGGGGATAGGGATTTCATGACAAGCTACATCTGCCCAAATTTCTTCTTCTATATAATTATTAAAGTTTTGGGAATCCTTCTCTTTTCCTTGGCCACCACAAAAGAAGGCAAGTCTGTAGTTGTGCAGTCTTTCCAGGATAAGCTGAATTAGTCAAATAATAGTTTTGGGGCTGGTTCCGGTTCCAGTTGGGTGAGGCAACGTCGTTTGTATACAGTGCTTTTAACAATAGTAATAATCTTGGATCTATATCCCTCATAGCCAATTTTTCCCAAAGGTGATCTCTATTTATAGAATTGAACCCTGCGGTTAAATCGATAAAGGCTGCAAATAACTGCCCACCTCTAATAGTATATATGTTTATAAGATGTTGTAATATATAACAATTGTCTAGGATAGAATGTCCCTTCCTAAAGCCTGACTGTTCAACAAAGATGGAATTTTCTTCTTCCCAGTCCACTAATTTATGTAAGAGGTGCCTCACATAAATTTTTGCTGGGATATCAATTAGGCTGATAGGCCTGTAATTGTTGGGATCTTGTTGGGACCTTTCTTAAATAGAGGAATAATGATACGTGCTTTCCAGCCTTTTGGAATACAACCAGTCTTAATAATGTGTGTAATTAGCCCAGACAATATGGAGGCACACCAGTCTCTGGATGGTTTACAGTTCAATTATGCAGGTCACACATTGCCTGCCCCCCAGCAATCTGGGTACTGAAGTTAGTGACCTCAACAGGATGGAAGACAGTGTCAGCCTGGAGCTGGTTGTCTGGGATTGAACCCTATTTGTGAGCAGAGTTTTGGCTTTTGGCTGCAGTACTGCAGTTTAACCACTGTGCCACAAGGTATTTGGTTTCCCCCCTGCCCTTATCATAATGGTTTGGCAGAATTTTTTTCAAGCAAAACACAATCTAAACATCTTATTTATCTGAGATGAAAGTGAGTTGATTTTACCTACTATTGCTAGCAGGTCCTGCTTTCCATTCAGGTTCAGCTCGACAAAACAAAAGAAATCAAAACAAAAAATAAAACAAAGCAGAACAGTGTGGTACCCAACTAGTCCAATACTGTTTCCTTTTACTGGCAGGATCTCAAACAAATGTCTTGTCGTGTTGTGTCAACTGATGCTCTTTGGCCAGAATGTGGGGCTGTGGGGCATACCTCAAAGTATGTTCATAATATTAAGCTAATTCTAACACATTTAAAAAGAGACAAAGCAGAAATAGCTCAAATTGTGCAAGATGCTCTGGTGCCATGTATAATGCATGGACCGTATATGCCCTCTATTGATAGCTGCAGGAAGATACTGATTCGTATTTTGCTTATGTTGAATTCCTTCTGTCTGTGTCTGCAGGTGAGAGCGGAGCAGGCAAAACAGAAGCCAGTAAATACATCATGCAGTACATAGCTGCCATTACTAATCCAAGCCAGAGGGCTGAGGTTGAAAGGTAAGGCATCAACAGTCTGGAAGGTTGAGGAACAAAAAATAAAATTTATGTACAGTGTAGAAGAGTCTATGGACTGTCCTTGAAAAATGGGCAGGAAGCTTCAGCAACAGCTTCATGTTGAACGGGACTCATTTGCCCCCATCTTGATGTATTGTTTTCTGAGCAAGAGTTCAGTTGTAATGGTCTGCAAGTTAGTTGTAAAATGGCTCGTACCCTGTACTTCTTATATGCTGCTGCTTTCTCAGTATTTAGTTGCAGTATTTGCCTGGGGTATCTTCAGAACACTGCTATTCATTCATCGTGTTTATCAGGGAGCAAGAATACGCATTGGTTGCCCCTAGAATGGCTATGTACTCCCCTGCTCCCAAAAGTTTACAAAATCCTGAGAGTATCATATTTAGCCTTTCTTTTATTGGGAGAGGGATGGAACTTTTAATATCCATATAATGACACTGATTGGGTTAGTTTTTGTTTTTATTCTTTCCCTAATGTTTGGGATGAAGTAGACTATAGTTGCAAACAAAGAATGAAGTGGCCCAGTACTAAATTATTGCTTGCTTGGGAATGCTTTATGCTGGGCCAGTTTCCTGGATTCTGCATAGTGTCTCCCACAAGGGCACAGCCTGCTCAATCGTGCATTACAACTGGTGTTCAGTTCTGCTAGTTGCATATCATACGTTGTTATGTAAGCCTACAGATACATAATGTCTAGACCTGGTTTCCTGTTCCTCTGGTTTATGTGCATGTCTGCTTTCTAAAGGGTGAAGAATATGCTGTTGAAATCCAACTGTGTTCTAGAGGCCTTTGGCAATGCCAAAACCAACCGCAATGACAACTCCAGCAGGTTTGGAAAATATATGGATATTAACTTTGATTTTAAAGGAGACCCAATTGGCGGGCACATCAATAATTACTTGCTGGAAAAGGTAAGTTGGTCTTATCATGTAGACCCCTTTGGTCTTTTATAGGCAAAGGTTTGTTTTGCAGATACCTTTACTACATTGGTGTGTATCTAGGTTCATGGAAGTAAAATGAGAACTTTTAGAATAAGAACATGCCTTATTCAACAAAATTCCGAAGGTTGACTTTAATCTGGTGATCTTTCTGTTAAATAAAATTGCAGCTGATGCCATGGTTTTAAAGTAGAGGTCAAGTGGCTTTAAGGAAGTTTTCTATTACAAGTTCAGTGGGCTGGTGGAAATGTTTAATATGAGATATATGATGGAGCTGTTTTTCCTTAAATGACTCTAAGAACTGTCTGATTTTAATGTGTATTTCTGTAACAACCTCTGATGTGTGTTTGAAATCATTTTTTGAAGTCATTTTTAACATCTGCATGTGTCAGTCTGAAGCCAGTTTACAGAATACACATTTTTCCATGCCCAGTTTCATGGTGGGAGTACTTACAATGAGGTAGTACTACCAGGCTTGCAGAGTTCAAACCCAAGGATAGTAGTAGATCTGTGAGATCATTTGCCTCCCCAGTCAGACTTCCCTGTTTCTCTAGAGCTCATTTGCAGTCCTCACAATAGCTGGAAGAGAAATCAATTTTCCTGGGAATGGTATATTGTTGCAACTTATCTCTGTTCCAATGCCAGACGATAGGGTCTTGAATAAACCGTTAGGGTCACTAGAAACCTGTCTCTAACTGGTTAAAAGCCAGTCCAGATATCTGCGTATTTCAACTTTCCTTAGCGTTGAGGGGCCTGGCTACAGGGATTGTCATGATGCTGTTCCAAATTTACCACTACACCCCTGAGTTCTTAAACAGATGGCATTATGTGCTGCTGTACTCATAGTGCCATACCTCAGACGATAGTGCAACTCTAATTGGTGATGAAGTATTTTTGTGAAACTGGCTTCCCACCCCCACCCCCCAAATTTAAACCATTTGAAAGTTTTTGTTGGCCTAGTGATATTATTTAGAATTCCCAGTTGCTTAATTTGGGGTAGGGCCTGCTCACTCTGGAAAAGCCATGAAATCTTAGGCTACCTAAATGCTAATAACAGAATCCCTGTTTGGGAATATTTGCAGCCAGATATTTGTTGATGGACAGTGCCTGGCAATTCTTGGGCAAACCTGCCCGACACTTCCTCTCACAGAGCTTTATGTTGTTCACCACGTAGGCAGCCAAAAGCCCTGGACTTCAATCATAAAATATTATTGGTGTTGAAGTTGCTTGTAAAATTTATAGTGGCTTGTAAAATTTATAGTACTTAAAATGCTGATGAAGTATGGACAGATGGATTACTGCTTATTAAGGTGAGATGCCTTTGATTTCAGTAGGATTTGCCAGTGGCTTCTTATCATTGTGCCCAATATACTTTATGTGGGGAGTAGTACAGTCATGCAAAGCAAAGGTTAAAGTCCTGTACAATCATTAAGAAAGTGTGTGGACCACATGTGGAGAGTGTGCTAGCTTCACCCCCTCTGACATTCTGTTGGAATGTGGGAACACAATGGTCTGAAGAGTGGAAGGCCACTTCCCATGTGAACCAGCACCCTGATTCTGGGTTAGGCTTTGTTTATTTGTTTGTTTTTTGTTTGGTTCACATGGACAAAGTTACTTGGGTACAGCAGCCTCTCTTTCTTCAGACATTTCAGTATCCTTGCTCAGTGTGATGTTTGGAGGTGCTTGGAGCTAATGCACTGGCCCTCAACAATACGAGTTCCACATTCTACTTAATGACTGAATGGGACTTTACTCATATAATTTAATTTCACAGAATGATTGATGCTCTCCTAATTAGCTTTAAATAGGAATTAATCATTGTCAACAACAATTAGATACAATGGCGAAATGGAACTTACAGATTCAGACACAGTGTGTGTAGCTCTGGATGTGCTTAGCTGGGGAACTAACAGGAGGGAATGTTCATCTCATGCAGAATCCCTGGGCCTATTAAAAGTGAAGGTTGATGAGTTACTTTGGTGTTCTAAGTCTCTCATAATGTCGTAGTGGCAATACATTCAATCTTGTAAAGAGCTTATTATTAGAAGTTAATAAGATAAACAAGAATTTGATGATGATTATGATAACAATAGCAGTAGTGGTAGTAGTAGCAGTTATTGCTGTTGTTGTTGTGTGCTGCAGGTCAATTGACAGCCAGATACCTGAACCACTGAGCTATCCAGCAGTTCCCTTGTATGCCATCAAGTCAATTCTGACTTATGACAATCCTTTTCAGGGTTTCCTAGATAGAAAGCACTCATAAGTGGTTTACCTACCATTCCTCTCTTCTGGGGGCATCCTGGGACAGCGGCTTGCTCAAGCCCATACATGCTGGCTCTTCCCCCAGGAGTACAGTGGAGAATTGAAATCCAATCCACAGAATTGGATCCACAGCCAGATACCTAACTCACTGAGCTATCCAGTCATTTAATTTTTTTGGGGGGGGGTGTCAAGTCAGTTCTAACATACGACAACCCTTTCCAGGGTTTTCTAGGTAGAGAATAAGAATTTTTATTCTAGGGTTATCCTTAGCTCAGCAAAATTTTCCTAGGGCACAGCCACTACTATCATTGGGAAGAGATTTTAAAAAACGTGAATTGCAGGCATATTTTATGAGACTTTTCTTCTTCCTCTCCCTTATGTATTTTCTAAAGTCACGGGTGATTGTTCAGCAGCCAGGAGAGCGTAACTTTCATTCCTTCTACCAGGTGAGCTTTTCTTTGCCCAGTATATAGCTGTAAAATAAGGATCCATTTTGTTGTCTGTGAATTCAGAGGAGAAACTTATCATTTGCCCTCCAAAATACTTTTCATTGTATTTTTATTCCTGCCAACATCTTGTGCCCCATTTTGTTCCCTAATCTGCACAGAGTATACTTTTTGTTTGCTTGAGAATGATAGACATTTAGCTACGTTAAAGCTTGCTATGAGAGCAACTTTTAGAGATCATGTCTTCCAGCTTTTTCCTCAAAGGCAAGCTTTCCATGTCTCCCTCAACCAGATACTGTACAATTTTAACTGTGTTTTTTATTTTTGTTGGAGGAGATGGTCACACTGGTTCTGGCATACAGATGGAAATAATTTCCATAAACTCCATGGCTTTTCCTGTAAGTAATTATGGTAACTGGATGCCTGTGCCAGACTCCAATGAAGTAGTAAGTAGGCCCTTAGAGCAGTCCCTTTCAAAATAACAATCAGCATGGCAACATTCAGTTGGTAAATGTTCCTATGGATTCCTCATTACACCTTTATCTCCTATGTCTTCTTAAAGCATCCTTGTCTAAATTTTTTACTGAGAAAGTGAGATTATTTTACAGCTTCTCTCACTTTTAATCTTTTGAGATTTTTTTTTCCGAAATGCCTAAAACAGTACAGAGTATTCTTTCTAGTTTCACTTCTTCCAAATTCAAGGAACTACTGAGTAACATTCAGATGAAACAAGGAATCTGTTAGGAATTAATGGGCTGAGAGGATTGAGGGTTGAAAAATATTTTTAGTCTCAAATATAACAGTGAGTTCTTGAATGTCAAGCGAAATCCAAACCGCACACTGAAAACACTCAAAAACCATCTCACTCCAAATCACTGATCATGGGGAGGATAGGATGGAGAAAGGAGGCAGAACTGTTTTATAGGGCTATGCAGAGTGGAAGATACTAAATGCAGGTCAAATATCAGTAAGGTCACTGAGCAGCAGTACTGACTCCATTGTACATGGCAGGCTGTTTTTCCTCTCCTTCTTCCCACACTTAACTATGTGGCAAGGGAGGCATGAATCTAAACCCATCTGTTTTCCAGCAGCTGTTCCAATGCTTGCCTTCGCTGCTCATTGCACTCTTTCTTCCTCTTGTCTGATGTCTGTTTACTTGAAAGCCTGAGGGCACAGACTTTCTTGTCTTTATAGTGTTTAGAACATTTTTTTGCACTTTCTGTTAAGAAGCACAATAATAATGAAGATATTTTTGTGCAAACTTTAATGATGAATTGACTTGATGGCAGATGGTTATAATGATTTGATGAATTGACTTGATGGCAGATGGTTATGATGATGATTATCATCATCATCTGCCGTCAAGTCAATTCAGACTTATGGCAACCCCTTTTCAGGGTTTCCAAGATACCACTTACTGGGATAAATGATCCTCTGACTCTCTCCTCAGCTACTCCAAGGCGGTTCTGAGCAGCTTCTACGTTCTTTACATCTACATAAGGATTTATCTGCTTATAGCTATATCAGTCCTGGTGCACAACTAAAGGTGAGAGTGTTTTCTGTCAGTAAATAGTCTATTGGTGAGAAACTATTGAGCTGAAATGATCAGCTGTTAGATCCCTAGTGGTACTTATACTCTGATGGCAGTTGTATGCATAATACCTGAAAGATTAACTTTGGTTAAAAAACAGCTACTGGAAAATTTTGTTTATCTGAAAAATATGGTGTGCAATATTCCAGAATACTACCAATGGTACATCTTGCTGGAATACAGTTACAGTTCGCACTGATTAAAATGACTTTGTTTGTGATGTGATGTTGGAAGATACTGCTGTAGTAAAAGACGTTGTCTACAATGTAAGGAAAGTAACTCTAAATTTGGCTCGTATTAGGTGTGGAGAGAAACAACTTGAAGAGTGAGCCTGTTGTGCATTCCCATCTACTTCTGCTTATAAAGGCACACAAACAGAGGCTTATAAGACAGATTCAGGAAATGCTGATTCCCACATGGGCCAGCACACATTTAAGAACAAGCAACATAATGGCTGAAATCCAAATACAGATAAAAAGTTCAGACAGAAGAATGATAATAGAAGCCTGAATAAAAAAGAATATTTTAAAAAGCATGGCCTATGTCTGGGAGAAGGAGAAGCATGCATTTGGGTGAGAGCAAAGTACATGTGGAATATATATTGGGTCATCCTAGAGCATAAACATGCCCATCTTCTCCTGAAGAGAAGTATTGGAACAAGAGTGGAAAAGATGTTTACAGCCCATCAAGAGGCTTGGGCTTGGGCCTTGATTTGCAACCTCAACACCTTTTCCTAATAGCCCTGTGAAAAGAAATACAAATTCTGTCAGATGATAAATTGACCTTGTCTAGCACACTGGATTTTTGGACGCTCTATACTGCAGCAACTGAAGTTGCTTTGTTGGTAGCTTCCTGCTCTTAGTTCTCCCCATCCAGCGTAGCACCATCTGTGTCAGTATTGAACATATTATATTATTGCTCTCAGCTGATATGTTTGGTGTTGCTGCTTATTTTTCAGTGTTCTATCAATGATGGTACTGAGTTCAAAGCTGTTTCTGATGCCATGAAGGTGATTGGGTTTGAGCCAGAAGAGATACAGACAGTATTCAAAATTCTGGCTGGCATTCTTCATTTGGTAAGTGGACGGGATATCATGTCCATAGATTTGTGGGCTACTGAATGTAGGAAGGTGTGTCTAAGGCCTATTACTGTGTTGATTTCAAGGACAATCAAGAAGACCACTTTGAGAGACATAATGAGAAAGCTGCAGCTTTGAAAGAAGGGGATATTGGTTTGTGCACAAACGCACAAAGGTTTTTCCACAATACAGTATAAGTAGCAGCCAAATGAAGTGTATGAAAAAAAATAGAGAGAGAGAGAGAATCATCTTCTCTTTCCTGCCCTACACCCTGTTTTAAACCAGAATGAAAAAAGCTGCTGGATGTTTTTCCTGCTGAGCCAGTATACCAGAAGAATTTCCTGTAATGATCTGCACGGATCTGTTGGCACAGAGGTGAGCAGCTCTGGCCTTCCAGATGTTATTGAACTGCAAATCCCAAGAGTCTTTGCCTGGCATGGGATGCTGCAATTCAGCAGCAGATAGAAAGCCAGATGTTGCATTAAAAAGACAGAATTTAAATAGCACAGATTAGGTATGACAATTTGGGAATTTAAAAAAGGCAGTTACCTAGACCAACATTGTTTTTTTATCCAGTTGTTATATGCACAGTCCTTTGAACAAAGGTTCAGCAGTATATGTTACACAGTACATGGAATTTTTCTAGCAAGAGATACTTGGGTAAACATAAAAATGGATTATCCCTTGTTTCCCTTTGGTTTGCGTTAGGAAAATGCATCTGTTTGAAAGCTTTGCCAAATCAGAGTTGTGTTTCCATCACTAAGGGCAGCAGAATGAATAAATCCTTTCTCATCTTACTGCAGGGCAATTTAAAGTTTTCTGTGGATGGTGAGACACCGGTGATTGAAAACAGCAAGCTAGTATCTGTCATTGCAGACCTGCTGTCGACCAAGACTGATTTGGTGGAGAAGGCCCTACTATTTCGAACAGTTGCTACTGGTCGAGACATCATTGAGAAGCAGCATACAGAACAGGAGGCTACCTATGGCAGAAATGCATTTGCAAAGGTGAATCATTAGAGACGCACACCCCCAACTTGAAGTTTTGTTATCTGCTTGTGGACATTGGTTGGCTCCCTCCTTTGTTGTCAGATTTGCACCTTTGGCACTTCTTGCCACTAAGGATCAGAGGGCTGTTGTAGGCTATTTCCAAGCTCTTCAATGACTTGGGAAATGAGTGGCATTTTCTATCCTTGGTGATGTATTACTACCTTGATATTTTAGGGCACACTGGTTAATATAACTGATATTATTTGAGAAGAGTCTCCCTGGAAGAGCAACTAATTTTTTCATATAGGATGTGGCTGTTTTGGTCAATAAAGTTTGGTGGGACTTTAAAAAATGTTTTATGGACCAACTTTTGTGGATCTGCATCTGAAGAAGTAGGCCATAGTCCATGAAAATCTTTGTGAATAAAATTGGCTAATGCTACAGTTTTTTCTTGATGCCCGATAATAGATAAACACATGTAGTTACATTATAGCGAAACACATGGAAGAATATATTAAAGTGATGTAATTAAGACCTCATTGTAGAAAAGAGTTTGACATTTCATGTGCTGAATGTACAAACTGGCTTGAGAGTTATTGCCTAGTGAATTTGTTTTATTTTAAATCAGAATAGTGAAATTAATGCAGCAAAAGAGCACTGCAGGACACAGCTGGTTTGTTTAAACCTTACTAGGATTTCAGTAATTGAAGCAAGTTAGACCTGAATATAGATTGTGTATGCTGATTAATTCTGAGTTATTTAAAAAGGAACAAACATTATCCTTCATGTTCTTTGGTTTGAAGGCCATATATGAGCGTCTTTTCTGCTGGATTGTGATGCACATCAATGATGTGATTGCAGTGAAAGGCTACAACAACACAGTTCATGGAAAAAACACTGTCATTGGAGTGCTTGACATCTATGGCTTTGAGATCTTTGACAATAACAGGTGAGATGTCTTAAGAAGATTGAGCATATAATTTAAACTTTTTCTATTTGAGGTACTATTGATTTTTTAAAAAATCTTTATTTTAGCTTTGAACAATTCTGTATTAATTACTGCAATGAGAAGCTGCAGCAGCTCTTCATCCAGCTTGTTTTGAAACAAGAGCAGGAAGAATACCAGCGTGAAGGGATTCCTTGGAAACATGTGAGTACATAAACAGGACTAGTCAAAAGGTGACATGAATTCAGAGGTGCCTGGATTCTGGGATTCAGACACCAGTGTGTACCTGTATTGCATATTTGTAGAAAATGCAAAAGAGAGAGGCACTTGAAATATATGAGCGTCTGACTGCAGCCATCGACAGAGAGTCTGGCATAAATCCCTTGAGCTTCTATTGTTTGTAAGTTATAAAGGTGTTGAATAGATTCATCTTGGTCAAACAGAAATATCAGTACTGAAATTGGAATGTCAGTGAGAACATTGTGAGACTCAAAGTGGTGTATTTAGCACTTGCCTCTGAAGAAGATGCTTGCTCATCCGTTTTCTATCTTTGTTTTATTTTTTACTGTATTTTATTTATTATCTTCACATTGTTTCAGTTGCTGTTGATGGTTTGTGTATTATTGTTTTATATTTTGTAATTGTAAACCACCCAGAGTGGCCTGGGTAGCCAGATGGGTGGTATAAAAATTGAATGGACAGAGAGACAGACAGATAAACAAACATTACTGACTTATGTGGGGAAGTGGGTTCTCTGCTGTTTGACGGTGAAGCTAGGGAAGTGAGCCTCTCCATCCTAAGACTGGACTTATGTATGAAATTTTTGCCTTTGTTTTGTGAGTCTTGTAAATATTTCTCCTCAAACGCTCTACAGATTGACTACTTCAACAACCAGATAATTGTCGACTTGGTGGAGCAGCAGCATAAAGGCATCATTGCCATTCTGGATGATGCGTGCATGAATGTTGGGAAGGTCACAGATGAGATGTTCCTGGAGGCTCTTAATAACAAAATGGGCAAGCATGCTCACTTCTCCAGCAGAAAGGTATGACTCCTGTATTGTGGCATAATTAATAATTCTGTCTCCTGGCTAAAGGAGTCAGTAGCTGAAATTCTGTTGTGCAGTTATGCAAACAGCATAAATTTGAGAAGGGAATTGCCAAAAGTTAAGAAATTATCTGCTGCATACTGAATCATACCATTCAATATGTAGCAGGTATTGGCTTGAATCCTGTTCTCAGAACTCCGTGTAAGTAAAGCAGATGACATAAACATCCACAGATGTTAGAGTATGACCCCCATATCCACTGGAGATTGGTTCCAAGCCCCCTGTAGATACTGGAAACTACAGATAATAGTGATAGAGAGAGAGAGAGAGAGAACAGTAAAAGAAAAAAAACCCCAGAAAAATTATTTTCACATGCATTACCAGAAATGGCCCGTAGAGAGCAATAGAGACCATGTTATGTATTCTTCACTAACAAGTATTCATAGCCTGATCCCTGGTTCCTTCTCGTGGCCATTTTGGGTAATGCATGTGAAAATAGTTTTTCTGCATTGTTTTATTTTAATATTTTAAATATTTTCAGACTGTGGATAAGTGAAACTGTGAATACTGATCCCGTGGATACGGGGGGTCATGCTGTACTTTATTTAAATGTTTCTTAATCATTCCCCACCCGTCCATGTTACAAGGTTCCAAAGGAACCTTTGGAATCCTTGGGATGGGGGACATTTAATGCCTGAAAATCTCCACTACCAGTCCTTTTAATGCTTTAAAAGCTATACTTTAATGCAGTGGTTCTTAACCTTTGTTACTCGGATGCTTTTGAACTGCAACTCCCAGAAACCCCAGTCAGGACAGCTGGTGGTGAAGGCTTCTGGGAGTTGCAGTCCAATACTCCTGAGTAACCCAAGGTTAAGAACCAGTGCTTTAATGCTTTTAAGCATTAAAAGCTTCCCCATGTCGAAAGAGATTATTAGGGTGCCTGAGAATCTGAGGGGCTAGGATGGGATGTTTTAATTAAAGAGTAAAATCTGTGGATGATGATGTCATCAGCTTTATCCACACAGAACTGCACAAGCAGGATTCTGGCCACTATCTGTGGACGTTCTTAGTGTATGGCAATTGTTTTCCAAAAGTTAACACTACTTTCATAATTGCACAACACGGTTTCAGCCAGTTTGTGCACTAAATAGTGAACTGGATGGAATTTATGTTGCTTCTGCACATCATGAGGAACACAAGCACCTATTTTTTTGATTACTTGATTTATTTCAAATAGTGTTTATTCCTCATTCATTTGTAGGCAAAAAGATTTAAAGTTATTGCTTTAGGAATATCAAGATTCTCTGAATACAGATTCATGGTTGCACAATGCAACTGCAAAATGTGTGTAGTATAGGTAAATGATCCTGTCTCTGTTTGCAAGTTACGCATTTTTGTTTGTTGACACTTCAAGATTTAAGTGTCCCATAAGGCAGCGTTCCTCAACCTTTTTTGTAGTGCGGACCGGTGGAGCCTCTGAGGGAGGTGGGGCGACCCCTCGCACTTGCGCTCTCCGACGCACGCGCAAACTGGTTGGGGAAGTGGTTCCCCCACTGCTTTGCACATGCGCAGGAGCACCTGCCCACCCGCACACCCACCCCACACCTGCGCACCCCATGCTTGAAGGGGTGAGGGAGTGTTTACACGGGGGAAGGGTGGGGCTATTTCCAATCGCGACGTAGGTGAAGACCATCAGGGGCGAGGAGCCCCTCCTTAGGGTTGGGGGGCAGAGATGAGAAGGGAACCGCTTGCTGGGTTTCGGTAAGGCTTGCTGGCCTCTCCCTTCCCCACCCCAGAACAGAAGCCTTTGCTCGTCTGCCCTACCCACCGCTTTACCTTGCCGAGGCACAGCAAGAAAAGGAAGAGAAGCTGTGCCGGTGGCTCTCTTTCTCCTACCCGCCCCCACTTCACCTCGTCGCCCTCCTTCTCTGCAGTCTTGCACCTCCGAGAAGTCAAGTGGGGGGGGGGAGGGAAGATT